AATATTTGCTCTGGAATGAGAATGCTTAGAATGACGTTTTGTTTTGTACCCTTATCTCAGTAGTGTTAGACAGAAGACAATAAATCATTCACCCACTCAATAGAGATTCATAATGTGGAGGTCGCCCACTATGTTTCGTTTGGAAATATGATTGCATCTTCCTGTAACAATAGATTTACTGATTAGTTTGAGAGGTTTGTTTTGTACCCTTAACATAAAAACCAAAGGGTCTGTGACATTAACTATCACACCATCGTATTGCTTAGAACACACCGGAGGTCGCTGACACTATTTCTATTCAATAGGTTGTACAAAACAAAATATAGAACTAAAAATAGTAAATGTGATCAATAATGATTGCTAATTCATAAAACACTGAATTTAAACTGCAAACAGATACATTGCCACAGCAGACAGGTTGGGCAAACAGGAAGAATGTCTCTAAACATTATTGAAGGGTTACCTGTACAAAATAAGACTTTATGCAACAAAAAACCACCTGAGAAGTTTGCTTACCTTTTTCAACTTTTAGCCATTTAAATTTTACATACGAGTATTTAGAGAAATTATTTACGGTACTATCAACTAGCATTTTCCTGTTGCCACGGCCCGTTTCCAATCCCTATGTACTCTAATATCTATGAATTAATTGATTGATTAATTAATTAATAATGATCTTTTGACGCCCAAAAATCATAATGGCGTTCATTTCCAGCAATAAATTGCTTAACTACCGACTGTATTTCTACATTATGAGTCAGTTGTTGGTGTGTGTGTGAAGAAGTAAGCAGTGATTGAGTCTTTCCTGGATAGTTATTAGATGAATTAACTTGAATTAATAACTAATTTTGATAAAAATGGCTACTGATCTTCAAAATATTGGTGGGGCAACTGCCCTACCTGCCCCTTAGGCAGCGACGCCTCTGACTTAGTGCGAGAGCCTCTGAAACAGAGGATGGTGGCCCGAATGATGGCAAATAATAATCTTGTGCGAATCCAGTTTATTATTATTATTATTAGGCCACTCCAATTTGATTCCTTGTTTCCCATTACCCGCCCGCATGGGGCCGCATCGCTATTCATTATTGCGGTTTTTCATTGATTATACAAGCAATTTATACAGCTGATAATGAATAAATTTAATGAAAATGAACAAACCCGCCCGCCCGCATCAGGCCCGCCTCTGTAATGGGAAACTATGAATCTTATTGGAGTGGCCTTATTATTATTATTATTATTATTATTATTATTATTATTATTATGTAGAGTGCACCACTTGGTTTGGCTTGTATGAAAGTACATACAGAAATAGTTGAACTACTACTGAACCATGGAATAGATAATACTAATAACACTATGAGTGATAAAAATGTAAGTTGATAATAATAATAATAATAATAATTGTAATTATTACGTTAGTGTACACAACTTCGTAAGGCCATCAGTGCAGAAGGGCAGTGTGAAAGAGTTAATATTAATCACACTAATGAGGAAAATGTAATTTATTGTTATTATTAGTAGTAGTAGTATCAGTATTATTATTACATTAGGGTACAGCACTTCACATTGCCTGTTCTAAAGGGCATAAAGAAATAGCTAAACTATTATTGAAGCATAAAGCTAATGTTAATGCCTCTCATAAGAACAGGGTAAGAGACATAATTACCGTACTCGCCCCAATTAATGTACCCTCCTAATTGTTGCACCTCTACATGGCTTCCTCAATTAATGGTCAAGATAATTATTTTTGAGAGGTGCATTGTAATTAGAAAGTCCCATTGTTTACAGGTGTAGTGCAGTGTGTGCTTTGTTATCCACCTCTAAACAAGCACCTCCTGGAGCATTTCATAATTGTTCCTATCTAAACAATGCACCACCTGAGACATGTGATTTTTTTATGCGAAAAATAACAAAAACAAGATAAAGCTGATGATTATTGCTTTAAGGCAAACCTTTGCTTCAAAATGGCAGCCATTGTCTGCTGAATTGGTATGGGTAGAAAGTTGTTTGGAATCCTACTTTCCCTTGGAGTAAATCCTACTTAACCTTTTAAAAAAAAAATTTATATTAGTTATTATTATGTAGCATACAGCACTTCATATTGCCTGTAAAGAAGGATATACAGAAATAGTTGAACTACTACTGGAGCAAGAGAATACTGATGTTAAGAAACGTAATAAATATGGTCTTAATGCTCTTGATATTGCTGTAGAAGAAGGAAAAGAGTAAAAATTAATAATTATGAATAATTACTACAATTCTTTTCAATCTAGAGATGCTGCAATGGCTATAGTGACTAGTGATAAGTGGGAGGATGCTTTACGTAATTGTACAGAAGTGGATACAATTCATGGAATTAGAAAAATATGGTGTTGCAAAAAAAGGAGAAATAAAGTTAATAAGCAATTTACTACACCAATGAGAAGGATAATCAAGAAGATGCCAGGTTAATACATTATTTTCCTAGTACTATCCAACAGTTCAGATTGTATTATTAGTGGATACTGCGCTTGTAGCTCTTATATTACTATCCTTTACATTTAGATGTAGCTAAAGTTGTTTTTGAGAAGTGCTGTAAGAAAGACAAACCATCAGATCATCCTGATCATGAGATTGCTTTTAATTATGAGTTTCTTGATGATTTTGACGAGTAAGAAACTATTTTTTCTATTATTTGTTAATAATGATGATTTTGTTTTTTATTAGAAAATGGAATCAAGGATCAAAATACTCTAGTGAGAATCATTGTCTTAATATTCTTGTAAGTTGTAATTATAGTAATTTATAATAATTATAAACTATAATTATTCATAGGCAAATTCACCAAGTGCAGATTTATTAAAGCATCCACTAGCTGCTACACTTCTTGATCAAAAATGGAATAAAATAGGACGCATAGTCTATTACACTAATTTGTTTTTTTACTTTCTGTTTGTCATTCTACTGACATCATTTGCTCTCACTGTCCATCCTCCAAATTCAAACATGTGTAAGTTATTATACATGTAAGTAGTTTATAAATTGTACCTATTACAATAGGTATGGCAGTATTTGACAATGACACTGACACATCCATTGATTGCTTTCCAGGTAATTGGATAATGATTATGTGACTGTAATGTGACTATCTCGTGTTTAGAGGAAAGATTTGTATCCCAAAGATACATATCTATTGCTAGTGTATGCCTGATCGTTTATTCTGCAATCATGATAATACGAGAAGCATTTCAACTGGTTTTGTTTAAAGAAGAGTATTTGACCAGTTTTGTTAACTTCACAGAAGTCCCACTATTTATCTTCACAATAATGTTTACATCAGTACATAGCAACCAGTGCTTTTGTACTCAATCATGGCAGTGGCAGATTGGAGTGATTGCTGTATTCCTCAGTTGGATTGCACTTGTATTCTCCATTAGGAAGCTACCAGTAGTCGGAATATATGTGGTCATGTTTATTAAGATTTTTAACAACTTTATCAAGGTTGTTGTCCTTGCCTTACTATTAATCTTAGCCTTTGCAGTTCCTTTTTATATGATGTTTTATGATCCTCAAGATAGAGCAGAAGGAATTGTAAGACTTGAGCTAATATAATTATTATCCCTATCTCTTTTTTGTCTCTATTACTTTTTTCATGCAGCGTACTCCATTTATCACTCCATGGAGGACAACTGTTAAGGCAATAACAATGACAGTGGGGGAACTTGATATGGATTCATTATTGCGACAGAATAATCAAAGGAATGCCCCTGATGTACAGTATCCAGTGGTTGCATTTTCATTGGTAATTGTGTTTGTGATTTTAATGCCAATTCTATTCCTTAATCTACTGGTATGTTCATATAATATTAACTCCACCCACTGACCAACCCATTTCATATAGATTGGTTTAGCTGTTGGTGACACTGATGAAATACAGCAATCAGCTGATACTTACAGACTAACTCTGAGGGTAAGAACTAATTTGCATAGACATCACCAAGTATAGCTACTCTTGACATTTGTGATATTATAGGTTGAATTTACACTACCTATTGAACAACTTCTAAGATCATTGAGAAGTTGTATTGATAAAAAGGGGAAACGAAAAAAATTTTCATCTTTGTTAGGAAAGATTGTAGCTGTTACTAAAACTGATAAACCAAACAAACATAATTTCTTGAAAAGAAAAATTGATGAGATTGAGAAATCTATTAAAACTGAACCTCCAGTAAGTGATCATAATGAAATTCCTTTTTTATTATGCATAACATTTTAATGCAGGCAACTCTAATTCATGTTAAAAATCAAACCAAATCATTATCTGATGAAATGAAGAGCCTACACAATTCAGTATCTCAGGAGGTGAAAGACCTACACAATTCAGTATCTCAGGAGGTTAAGGACCTACGCAATTCAATGGATCAGTTGTTAGCTATTGTTAACAGTATGAATGAAAGAGTAGGAGGAGGAGGAGGAGGAGGAACAGAAGGAGAAGAAAAAGGAGGAGGAGGAGGAACAGGAGCTGGAGGAACAGAAGGAGGAAGAGGAGGAACAGGAGCCAGAGGATTAGAAGAGGTGGTGGAGCAAAAGAAATAATTTTGCTTAGCTTGTGGAGGAGGAAGGAGAGTAATTTTTAACGTTAAAAATTAAAATTAGTATTGTGTGGATTTAATAGACTATTACATGCTGAACTCTTTTATATTTTGTTTTTGTGTTTCCCTTTACACTCCCTTTATTACTGCTGCTCCTTATTATTAGCCAATAGTTTTTATTTTGTGTGCCTCCTTATTGCTACTGCTTTTTTACTAAAATTTAATTTGTATGCTGTAAGAACAGGAGCCCATGGTTTGCAATGCATAATGATCCACGTGACTGCACATGACTTGTAAATATCACGTGATACTATTAATTCAAACTCCACCCCATCACACATGTCAAGTTTTGGAAAAAATCAAAAATTCAAAATAATGTCAGAAGCTACATTGTCTACCCGTTCCAGTGTTGCAGTAAGCAGCAGCTGCTATATATTCATTCATGTATACTGTTGTATCGTTACTAGTCTACATCTTTTGATTGGGACAAGATAGAATGGTCTAAATTCAGTCCTGAGGAGAGACACAGGTTTGATGTAGTTCAGTTGTTGTATTATGAATAAATTAAATACAATAATTACTCAGATCATGAATATTAAATTTAGTAGTACCACAATCAATAATGTATGATTACATAAAAATTAAATCACGCACAATTAGTTTAGACCCAAAAATTTCCTAACCAGCACATTCATTTCCAGATACATATTAATCATTTGCTGGATATTGCTTTAAAAAATTTTGGCCGAAAATTCTAGAGTAAAATAAGTCTAAGGACTAAAGGACTACAGCCATATCTTGATACATAACTAATGGAATGTATAAATTATAAAAATAATAATTTTCTATATTTTTAAAGGTTACGTCACCGAATGATAGAGGAGAAGCACAGAGGTCATGACCTGATGCATGCTGAAATGATATTAATACTGTTTGCATCTATTGGGGTAGCACAAGTACTCCTCTTCTTATGGAGAATAAAACACAGGAAATCCTACCAGGTAGACACAGCATACATGTACATGTAATAATATACTAATAATATACTAATGGTATACTAATAATATACAGTAATATACTAATGATATACTAGTAATGTACATTTATGTATTGGTTATAATAAGGTATAAATGACATTATAATAATAGTTAGTATATAAATGTACATTTTATACAAGTTAGCTAGTTCCTCCATAATTATTGCTTATACTGTATTTCAGCAGCATAAGAATACGGTCCTCTATAGTATATAACATCGATAATTTTAATTTCTCTCCTCCTCCTCCTTTCTCTCTTAGGCCATTACCTTATTAGGCATGTGGATAATTCCATTTTATTTGTGTGTTCGGTTGAGTTTCTGGAGGATGATCATCGTATGGTCAATATTCTCTATTATATCATTATTTGTAATGTTTAAGGCTACTAGGAAGAAGCTTCATGTCAACACTCCAAAGTTAGTTTAATTATCCCAATTTCTGTAAAAATACCTTCCGAAAAATGGCTCCAAAATCACCCCAAATTTTATTACATTTTTTGATACATATTGATGTACTTATGCTGTGTAGAAAGTTTGAGCCAATTCTGACTTTAAATTTTCAAGTTATGGCCATTTTAAGAAAATGCCAAAATCCCCAAAAAATCCTTGTACTATAGCCCATGGTTTTTTCCGAAAAATGGCTTCGAAATCATCCCCAATTTTTATTACATTTTCTGATACACATTGATGTCCTTATGCTGTGTAGAAAGTTTGAGCTGATTCGGACCTCAATTTTTCAAGTTACGGCCATTTTAAGAAATGGCCAAAATCTGAAAATACCCTGTACTATAGCCCATGGTTTTTTCCAAAAAATGACTCCAAAATCACCGCAAATTTTTATTACATTTTTTGATACAAATTGATGTCTTTATGCTGTGTAGAAAGTTTGAGCTGATTCCAACTTCAATTTTTTGAGTTATGGCCATTTTAAGAAATGGGCCAAAATCTGAAAAATACCCTGTACTATATAGCAAGGCTGCAAAAGTTGTGGCAGCCATTTTGTTTGGGGGTGAATCCTACTTAGTAATGCTACCGCATTACTAATAGCCCATGGTTTTTTCCAAAAAATGACTTCGAAATCACCCCCGATTTTTGTTACATTTTTGAATACACATTGATGTACTTATGCTGTGTAGAAAGTTTGAGCCGATTCCAACTTCAATTTTTCGAGTTACGGCCATTTTAAGAAAATACCAAAATACTAAAAAAATCCCTGTACTATATATAGCCCATGGTTTTCCAAAAAATGACTCCAAAATCACTGCAAATTTTTATTACATTTTCTGATACATGTCAACTAATTTATTCTTATAATAGTATGAATGAGGTTGAATAACTAAACTAATGAACTGCTGATTGAGCAGAGTAATCTGATTGGTCAATTGCAATGTGTATACTTTGTTTTCATGCTAACTTACATGTACATGGCTTCTCTAATTTTAGTCATCATTAGTAGCTATCAGTATTACCTTTATAGCAAATTTGGCAACTAATAATCTGTCAATTGCCTTTTCTCCAATACTGAATTGTAATGCAATGTTGAAGAGAAAGAATTCAGTGTTGACTTGTTTGTCATTGTGTATGTGATTGTGTGAGTAACTATTATCTTGATAGCTATTACTCTAAAATTTGTATAGGATGCTGTAGTTGATGATAACTAATTCACATTAATTGTTTTATAGTAAATGATGTGTCCTTACAAGTCAATTCATCAATTTATAGCTGAATTAAGGCCTTTTCACACTGGCAGTTTTCAAAGCGCTTTTGTGCACTTTGTTGATACAGCTGCATGCTTTGTTGATACAGCTGAAATAATGCGCATCAATGCACATTACTTGTGCCAGTGTGAAAAGGCCTTTAGTCTTTCTAAAGTTTCTATAACAACTACATTGTATTATTATTCTACAGGTAATAACATGTTTCTAACACTTCAATGCTATTTTTTGATACAGCTGAACCACTAAAATCTACTAGTACAAGCACCCATTCTGATTCATGCATGTAATCCCATTAAGGACCATTATTATCATTTTATTGTTTATATTTTATATACAGGCCCTGAGACTATCTAACTACATATGTGATGGGTACTTGCATGCATTTTCTAGTAAAACTTTGCCACTTTATATCATCTTTGTATGGGAAATAGATGCTGCTGTGAAAAGTATCAGTGAAAGATAAAGAGAAGTGAGACAAGGAGGACTACCAAAAAGTGAAGAAAAAGAAGAGCAGTACCAGGTAGTAGATCTACTAGAAACAAACAGCTAGGATGAATTGTGAATTTAAAAAAACTGAGAAAGTTGAATTTAAATCATTTGTCACATTATTGTACTATCTATGTAGTCATAAAATGAAAAAATTATCTAGGTGTGGTCATTGTGGGTTATATATATATATACATGATATTAGATTTAATAGATTAGTCTGATTAAGATAGGAGCTGGCTATAAAAGTAACTGACTCAACCATTATTAGTGAGACCAAATATTATAATAGTTTACGGTGAGAATGGAATTTATTACCATACACCTAGTTAATTTTGCGGAGAAAAATTTTGCGAATCCTTAAAAATAACCTGGTTTGCGGATTAAATATTTGCGGTTTTGACAGTTATTGTAGCATTATCTACTGTGGTCATGCATGAATCGCAAACTCGCAAAAAATTAATTCCCCGCAAATATTTCCAGCTATACGGCATTATAATTTAATTTAACTACATGTGATGCCTCTACTCTAACTCTAATCACTAATCAGGAATTTGTGAGGAGATTGCTCAACTAAGATGGCAGGAGAGAGAGAATCAGCAAATTTACTTAAAGAGGGGGCTACCTCGGATAATGCCGTGAGTTGTACCATTAATTCTTAACAATCCCACTATTTAGCTATAATTATTACCTTGCTCATAGATATTAGAGTAAATTCATTTACTCTAATATGTATCTATGCCTTGCTATAGAGCGGTTGCAGTGACGTCATAATTTCTTTTGTATATGTATGGCTAGTGGCGAGACTAATGTATGGCAAAAATTAATGCGTAGTAAAGTTGCTTCTTTCATACAACACAAGGCAGAAAAGGAGTACAATTATAGCAGTAGTAAGCAGAAAAGTAGCGATAGCAATAATTATAGGAGTAACAAGACAAGACTGTGTTCACTTTGGCCGCTTCACTGGTTTTCTATCCGAGTATTTCTTGCTTCCTTTGCACCCCTGGATCTAGGCAAATGAAAAGGCAGCATGAATTAGCCATGCTCATAGTTAAGGAAGCCTTCCAGAAGAGCTTATAGTGCTGTACAAGTGAATGGCAAAGTAGCCATTTTGCCATATGGAAGTAATTATGATGCATGCTGTGATGTCATATGAAACCGCTCTATATGTATGGGGTAGGGTTGAGCCTATTATTCTCATAAATTTTTCCATTATTCTTTCTGGAAATTCTTAATAATTGCCCCCATTATTCTTTTCATTTTATCCTATTATTCTCAATTTATTCTCAATAATTTTCTCAAACAATCAATTTTTGCCTAAGAATTGCATTCCAGCAGTGCTTTAAAAATAGGTCTTCCAAAAACACTAGCCAAAAATTTTAAAATTTTCTTCTGCAATCACCATTGACCTCAACTCCACCCATTATTCCACTATTATTCCTATTTCCACCCAATTATTCCAGCATTATTCCTCATATGAGGAAGCCCCTATTATTCCTAAAATTATGCTGGAATAATAGGCTCATCCCTAGTATGGGGTAGGAATGTAGCCGAAAACTTCTGAGGGATTAAACTTTTGGGGATTCACCAAAAATCATTTTTTGGTGAATCGAAAGTATTCCATCATCTTGTACCATATAATCTGGATTTCTGCAGATTTTAATTTTGCGAATCTGACAATTGCAAAAACAGCAAAAGTTATTGGCCTCGAAAGTTTCTACTGAGCTATGCGGTATGCTACCTGTTATGAGTAATCAGTGATCAATGGGTAAATTCATGTCTTGGTATCATAGGCGGTGGCAGGATTGGCAGAGCAGTTGGGTAAGAAAAATGGCGCGTGAAGCGCGTAGCCATTTTGGCCACGCCCACTTTTTTTGCACATATTTTGGGCGTATACTCAACGCACGCATAAATTATGATATACCATAAAAATGCGCCTAAAAGGCACCCTATTTAATCTGTAAAGCTCTATTCAACCTGTAAAGTGCTAGTCCTGGTCCTCCTGGAAGGCTTGTTGACAAAGGAAAGCAGAAAAGACTGTCTCTTGCTAGCCATGGTAATTTTTCATGACTAAAAATGATGTCATTAATTAAATTCTCAATTCTGGTCAAAATTTTTGGTTGGGCATTGCCCAACTATGCCCGACCCTGCAGCCGTCTATGCAGAGGCATCGCTGCCTAAAGGGCAGGTAGGGCAGTTGCCCCACCAATATTTTGAAGATCAGTAGCCATTTTTTATTAAAATTAGTTATTAATTCAAGTTAATTCATTTAATAACTATCCAGGAAAGACTCGATCACTGCTTACTTTTTCACACACACCAACAACTGACTCATAATGTAGAAATACAGTCGGTAGTTAAGCAATTTATTGCTGGAAATGAGCGCCATTATAAATTTTGGGCATTGAAAGATCACTATTAGTCTATTATTAATTAATCAATCAATTAATTGACCATACCCATCGTGAATATTAATTAGATATGGCAAAAATTTTCGCACGCTTCGCGTACAAAAAAGTTCCATTCCCCTTACAGACTTAGTGCCCTACCAATCTTTCAAGGCCAGCGACGCCCCTACTATGCTCAGTATCAGCCACATGGTATAGAATGTAGAAAAAATCTAAGTAAATTCTGCAGGAATCATGAGGAATGGTCTGGGTGGCGAGATTACCTGTAGCCAAGTAATGATAAATTTCCAGTTTATCTCGATTCATTGCATGTAATTTTCCACCTATCATCAGTTTCACATAGCCAGACCACACCGACCATGTCTACAAGGCACATGTACTAAGAATAAAAACATGGTACATGTACTCTTGGTACATGTACCATGTACCAAGAGTACATGGCGAGACTAACCTATCATGACTGGCAATTTAGGCTACCTCCCATTGATTACTTTTGTCCAAGAGCTCTATGGTTAAGCTAGCTAGCTTGGGTGGGGTGCACGGTATAGTGACAGTACTCATAAATAGCACCAGTTTATGCTGGCTGGCAGTAGCTACATGCTTTATAGCTTTTCCAAGTTTTCAACTATATAAAATTATTTTGTATTTCTGTGTATTAATTTTCAAATATAAAATGACAGTTGTACTTTGCCTACGCCAATAAGCTATTTCAGTTATAAAGAAAACAGGTTACCAAATCTCTAGTGCTGAAAATTGTGCCCATGTTACTGGACCTGTAGGCATAGTGTTTTCAAAATGTTTGTCTCTTTGCATGCATATCTCTTCTTAATGTCTCTTCTCTTCTTTCTATTCTGCACTATTCATTTTCTCTCTCTTAGAGTAATTCATGTTGCCCAAGCTTTAACTGTTGCAGAAAATCTACAAAAGATACAAGTATCCCAATGAATAAACTAGGTGTAAATGGTAAATTAAATTACTATATAATCTGATACCATAATTGGGGAACTTATAAATTTCATATTTGAAATGTTTGTGAAACTAATTTTTAATTAAAATTAATTTTGGGTCACTTCCTACACAACTCAACAGATAAAAGGTCCTTTTGGGCGAACAGACTGATTACGAATAGGCAAAAAAGCTAATATTGTGTTTACTAGGTTAGCACTAGCAAGGACAGCAAATCTGGTTTAACTAATATATTCATTTTTATGTGATTTTGATTTATTTGTAAATTAATATTAAATGTATGTACTACTTCACTTCATTGAGTTGCTCATTGTCATTTCTAGATAAGCTTCTCAAAGCCTGTAAGGATGGTAACTCTCATGAGGTTGATGAATTGTTACACAATGAGGGAGTGAATATCGATGCTACTGATGATGATGGATGTACACCACTTCATTATGCTTGTAAAGTCAGTAATGAAGGAATTGTTAAGCGTCTTATTGAGAAAGGAGCTGATTGGTCTAAAATTAGCAATGACGGGTGTACACCACTTCATTATGCTTGTAAGGCGGGTAATGAAGAAATTTTTAACCATCTTATTGAGAAAGGAGCTGACTGCTCTATAATTAGCGATGATGGGCGTACACTACTTCATTATGCTTGTGAGGGTGGTAATGAAGAAATTTTTAACCATCTTATTGAGAAAGGAGCTGATTGCTTTAAAATTAGCAAAGATAATCGTACACCACTTCATTATGCTTGTGAAGGGGGTAATGAAAGAATTGTTGGGTGTCTTATTGGGAAAGGAGTTGATTGCTGTGAAATTAGCGATGAGAAGCATGCATGCACACCACTTCATTATGCTTGTAAGCAAGGGCATACAGAAATTGTTAAACTACTTCTGAAGCATGGAGCTGACATTACTAATTGCAATAATGATGGTCTTAATCCTCTTGAAGTTGCTGTAGAGGAAAGACATGAGTGAGAATAATAATATGATAACACATAATTTCATTCTATTCT